CATACAACCTAGCAGCCCCTTTCATAGGCATTACCCTAGAGAAATGAAAACATATATCCAAAGAAAAACTTGTACAAAAATAATCATAGCATTATTTGTAACAGCTAAAAAGTAGAAACAACCCAAATGACATCAACCGATGAATGGATAAACAAAATGTAGTATACCCATACAATGGAATATTATCTATATATATAAGAAGCTAGCTACCATAATGGCCATAACGACCTAACGACCAGTCGCTATGATGCCCACTGTGGCCAGCGAACCGGCCCGATCAGGGGGTGGGGCCGGCCAGCCAACCCCCTGCCGGCCTGCCCCTGATTGGACTCTCCCACTCCGATCAAGAGTGGGGCCGGCCAAACGCCTCCTCCCTTTCCCCCCAGCCCCGCCCCTGATCAGCCCGCCCCACCACGATAGGCTCACAGCCCCTTCCCCTGGCCGACCTGCCCCTGATTGCACCCCCCACCCTAACAGAGGGCACGGCTGGCTGGCCAACCTCCTGCAGCCCCTCCCCCCGGCCGGTCATGCCCCCTATGGGCCCCTACCACCCTGATCAGCCTAGAGCCCCTCCCCCTGTCCAGCCCCGCCCCTGATTGCCCCCCCCACCCCAATTGAGTGCCACCCATGGCTCCTCCCCCAGGCCACTGGCTCCCAATTAGCACCCCCAATCAACTGCAGCCCCTTCCCTGCTGGCCCAGCCAACCTCTTGCCATCTCCTCCTCCCAACAGACCCAGCCCCAATCTGCCCTGACTGGGCCCGGCCAGCCGGCCAGACCCCACCCGTGCATGAATTTGTGCACTGGGTCTCTAGTTCAACAATAAAAAGGAGTCAACTACTGATGCATGCTACAGTATGATGAACCTTGAAAAGATTATGCAAAGTAAAAGAAACTTGTCACAGAAAACCATATAATATATGGCTCTAATTATATAAAATGTCAAGAAAAGACAAACTGATAGAGTCAGAAAGTAGATTAGCAGTTGCCTAGGGTTGAGGGATGTGGGAAGAAATGGGGAGTAACTACTAATAGGCTTGAGTTTCCTTGGGGTGATGGAAATGTTCTAAAATAAAATGTGGGGTGGTTGCATAACTGTGTGAATACTAAAAATCACTGAATTGTACACTTAAATGGGTGAACTGCATCGCTATAAAACTGTTACCGTACATTAAAAAAACCAACAACCTAAGCACACTACCTTCTTTTTAAGTTTTCCCTAGGGTAGCAGTGCTAATGGAACAAGTAGGTATATATTTTCCCAACTGTAGAAATATTAACAGAACAACGGGATACCTGAGTCTTTCCTGTGATTCTCAAACTTCTAAAGAATAAAAAACACACAATTCCCACAAATTTGTGTGTTGGAGTAAAAGAGCTCAGTTTATTCTGAAGATTTACCGCAGATAAGCCCAACTTTATTTCATCTAATGTAGATAAGGCAGGCTTCAGTGTGGTTAGAGCACTGGCCCGTGCACTGAAGGGTTGCGGGTTTGATTCCTGGTCAAGGGCACGTACCTGGGTTGCAGGCTCGTTCTCCTGGCCCTGGTCAGGGCTCGTGTGGAAGGAACAAATCAACGTGCCTCTCTCACATCGATGTCTCTCTCTCTCAAAGGGCCGACACACAGCATGGACTTACTCAGACTCACTCCCGGAGCTCCAGCACTAGGACAGCAGCTTGAAAGGATCCAGGGACATACAGGGAGGAATTAACTTCTCTGGCATCAGGGTAAGAACTGGGGGACAGCTTTCTACCAGACAACAGTGCTGGCAGAGACCATTATTCCTTTGCTGAGACCTCTCTGGCACAAAGCCAACCAACAGTCACCATAACTGAGTCTCCATCAACCTGCAGCTGATTCCCAGAGACCACACCCCATCTAATTTGCAGCCTCACCCAAGATATCTGCAATGACTTTTCCATATGAATAGCCTGTCCTAGCTCAGGCTTCAGACTCCTAAAATCTCCCAAACAAGCAGCACCTGACCTCAGCATGCCCCATACCTCTGGATAAGCAGCCCTAGGCCCTGTACTAGCAGCAGCCTGCCTTCTCCTGGGCATCTCCAAGCCCAACACAAGTAGCAGCCATCTAAAGATTGCTCTGTAACTCATGCCAGGTAGCCCCAGGCAAGAGCTGGCTATATACTTCCCAGAGCCAGTGCACCAGTGATCAGCTTCAGACTATGTCAGATTACAACCTCACCACATCCAGTAGCAAAACACTCGAGGGGCAGACTCAGTGAGCACCAAAACCCACTGAAGCAAGTCCTGCTCCATAGTGTGTCTCCCACACAGCAGCTCTCTCTCTCTCTCTCTCTGTAGTTGCAGCTGGTTCTCACAGCCAATTGGCCTGGGGGTCAATTCCTCCCAGTGACGCCAACAGCAATCAAGGCTCAAATACAACAGGACAGTGCACACAGGGATGCACCTAGAGTGCCCAGCTCAGGTGACTGGGGAGGCTGGGCCACTGGGCTCTATAGGACACTAACTATACAGGCCACTCTACCAATTCCAGGAGACATAGCAGCTCTACCCAATACATAGAAACAAACACAGGGAAGCAGCCAAAATGCAGAAACAAATAAACATGTCAGAAATGAAAGAACAGAAGAAATCTCCAGAAAAAAGAAATAAATAAGATGGAAGTAAGCAAACTACCAGATGGAGTTCAAAACAATGGTTATAAGGATGCTCATAGAACTTAATGAGAACTTCAAGGAACTTAGTGAGAACATCAACAACATAAAAAAAGATCAGTCAGAAATGAAGAATTCACTAACTGAAATGAAGAATAATTTACAGGGAATCAACAGTAGAGTAGAGGATGCTGAGAATCAAATCAGCGAATTGGAATATGAGGAAGCAAAAAACACCCAATCAGAAGAGCAAAAAGAAAAAAGAACCAAAAAATATGAAGATAGTGCAAAGTTATCTTCTGGGATAACTTTAAGCATATTAACATTTGCATCATGGTAGTGTTGGAAGGAGAAGAGAGGAAGCAAGAAATTAAAAACCTATTTAAAATATAGTAACAGAAAACTTACCCTCCCTAGTGAAAGAAACAGACATACAAGTCCAGGAAGCGCAGAGAGTCCCAAACAAGAGGAACCCAAAGAGGCCCACATCAAGACACATCATAATTAAGTCCTTGCCGGTTTGCCTCGGCCTGCAGACTGAAGGTCCTGGGTTCGATTCCGGTCAAGGGCACATACCTCTGTTGCAGACTCCTCCCCAGCCCGGGCCCTTGTCAGGGCATGTGCGAGAGGCAACCAATCGGTGTGTTTCTCTCACATCGATATTTCTCTCTGTCTTTCACTCTTTCTTCTACTCTCTCTAAAAATCAATGGAAAAATATCCTTGGGTGAGGATTAAAAAAATAGACATATCATAATTAAAATGCCAAAGGTTAAAGACAAAGAGAGAATCTTAAAAGCAGCAAGAGAAAAGCAGTTATCTTCAGGGGAGTATCCAAAGGACTGTCAGCTGATTTCTCAACAGAAACTTTGCAGGCCAGAAGGAAGTGGCAAGAAATATTCAAAGTGATGAAAAACAAGGACCTACAACCAAGATTACTCTACCCATAAAAGCTATCATTTAAAACTGAAGGTCAGATAAAGAGCTTCACAGCCCAGCTGGTGTCGCTCAGTGGTTGAATGTTGACCTATGAACCCAGAGGTCATGGTTCAATTCCCGGTCAGAGCACATGCCCAGGTTGCAGGCTCAGTCCCTAGTAGGGGGTCAGGAGGCAGCTAAACAATAATTCCCTCTCATTATTGATGTTTCTATCTCTCCCTCTCCCTTCCTCTGAAATTAAAAAAACAACAAAAATGGGGGAAGGTCAAGGAGGGGGGGGGGGACATATGTAATACTCTTTGTAATACTTTAAGCAATAAAACAAAATTTAAAAAATAAATTAATTAATTAAAAAACAACAAAAACATATTTAAAAAAAAAAAAGCTTCACAGACAAGAAAAAGCTAAAAGAGTTCACCACCACCAAACCAGTATTACATGAAATGTTAAAGGGTCTTCTTGAAGAAGAAAAATATGAACAATAAAATGGCAATAAATACATATCTATCAACAATTGAACCTAAAAATCAAAATAAATTAACAAGAAATCTAATGAACAAAATAAACTGATGAATAAAATAGAACCAGAGGCATGGAAACATGGAACAGACTGACAAATCTCAGAGGGAAGAGGGGATGGAGGCAGGAAGAGATTAACCAAAGAACTTATATGCATACATGCATTACCCATGGAGACAGACAATAGGATGGTGAAGACCTGGGATGGGCGGGATCTGGGTGGAGGGGGAAAAAGGAAAGGGATATCTGTAATACTCTCAATAACGATTTAAAAATATTTTGTTATTGATTTTAGAGAAAGGAAGGGAGAGGGATAGCAAGATAGAAACATCAATAAGAGAGATGCACTGGGGATGGAGCCCACAAGTCAGGCATGTGCCCTGACTGGTAATCGAACCATGACCTCCTAGTTCAGCCGTGGGCAAACTACGGCCCGCGGGCCGGATCCGGCCTGTTTGAAATGAATAAAACTAAAAAAAAAAAGACCGTACCCTTTTATGTAATGATGTTTACTTTGAATTTATATTAGTTCACACAAACACTCCATCCATGCTTTTGTTCCAGCCCTCCGGTCCAGTTTAAGAACCCGTTGTGGCCCTCGAGTCAAAAAGTTTGCCCACCCCTGTCCTAGTTCATGGGCCACAATGACCAGGCTCAACAATAAAGATTTTAAAAAATAAAATAAACAACATTCAAAAAGTTCGGAAAATTAAAAAAAATAAAAGCAATGTAAAAAATATCCTCAGGTGAGCTTTTTTTAAAAAAAATTCTGTCATGATCTGTGTCATTTTAATTTTACAGTTGAACCTACAGAGTCTCTTGCTAGGAGTACATGAATATATATGAAAAAAATACTTTCGTTTACAAAACTTAATTTGTGACACGACATTTTGAAGTTGTGTTTTTACCATGCACAGGTTCATCTTCATCGACAAACAGACAGGGTTCTATTTCTTTCAAGGACCGTCTTCCTTCAAGCCGGGCAAGGAGCTTCAAACGGAAAAAAAAAGAGAGAAGGAAAAATCGTTACCTAAAAATGTAAAATCTTGAAGATCTGCATTTATGTAATTTTCCAAAAGACTATAAAAAAGGCTTTCCATGATTTTAAGGGTGTAGAGAGAATTCTGAAGTATATAACTTAGAAGAAAAGTTGTGTTCACTTGTCCAGAAAATATTTCATTTTTTGTTTATATACTCGGTACGGATGGTATGGGTTCCTGCCCTCAAAGGAGCTGATAGTATAGTCTGGGATATAGACTAAACTGCTAAATGCAATGTATTCACCCTCCTTATGCATTGTAATTACCTTTCTCACGATGCTTATTGTACCTGTTACACAGGTACCGGTGTTTAATCTGTCTGTCAACTCCTTTTCTAGTGGGGGGAACTGGACAAAGGAGAAAGGTGGAGAAAACTTCCTTGGGGGCTCCTACCTGAATTAGTTAGGTATGTGGGGCAGAGGTGGCCAAAGCGCAGAGGTTATAAACAGCACTGTGTGTAGGTCAACCATAAGCACATTTGAATTGCTACAGCTTGTAGCACAAAACAGACAGGAGACAATGAAGTTCCAAAGAGCAGAGGTCAGATCCAGAAGGTCTCAGATGCCATGCTCAGGAGCCTGCTCCTTGGCTTGTACACAGAGCAAGGGGTCTCAGCTACACAATGAGAAGCAATCTGGACAATGCAGAGTAGATAGTCAGGACTCCAGAAGCAGACTTGCTATGTCACTTCCCTGGGCCTGAGGTTTCTCATCATAAAGTGAGGGTAACGAACAGTATATCTCCCTCACAAAGCTGTTGAGGATTCAATGTGTTAAGAGTGCTGCCTTGCCCTGGCCGGTTTAGCTCACTGGATAGAGCGTTAGCCTGCGGACTCAAGGGTCCCAGGTTCGATTCCGGTCAAGGGCATGTACCTTGGTTGCAGGCACATCCCCAGTAGGGGGTGTGCAGGAGGCAGCTGATTGATGCTTCTCTCTCATCGATGTTTCTAACTCTCTATCCCTCTCCCTTCCTCTCTGTAAAAAAATCAATAAAATATATTTTTTAAAAAAGAGTTCTGCCTTGGCCGGGTAGCTCAGTTGGGCCCCGATATGTCAAGGTTGCAGGTTCAATCCCCAGTCAGGACACATACAAGAGCCAACCAATGGATGCATAAATGAGTGGATCAACCGGTCCATGTTTCTCTCTCTCTCAAAATCAAGCAATAGCCCTGGCCAGTGTGGCTCAGTTGGTTGGCATCGTCCAGTGCACCTAAAGATGGCTGGTTAAATTTCCGGAAGGGGTCATGAAGGAAGCAGATTAATAATGTTGCTCTCTCTTTTCCCCCTCTCCCTTCCTCTAAAAAAATCAATAAAACCCAGCCAGCATGGCTCAGTGGTTAAGTGTCAACCTATGAACCAGGAGGTCGCGGTTCGATTCCTGGTCAGGGCTCATGCCCAGGTTGCGGCTCAATCCCCAGTGTGGGACGTGCAGGAAGCAGCCGATCAATGATTCTCTCATCATTGATAGTTCTCTCTCTCCCTCTCTCTCTCCCTTCCTCTCTGAAATCAATAAAAATATATTTTAAAATAAATAAAATAAAAATATTCTTTGTGATGACAGGGAACATAGTAGTAGTAAAGAATTTAACCTAGTCCTAGACCAGGGGTGGGCAAACTTTTTGACTCGAGGGCCACAATGGGTTCTTAAACTGGACCGAAGAACAAAAGCATGGATGGAGTGTTTGTGTGAACTAATATAAATTCAAAGTAAACATCATTACATAAAAGGGTACAGTCTTTTTTTTTTTTTTTTAGTTTTATTCATTTCAAACGGGCTGGCCCTCGGGCCGTAGTTTGCCTACGGCTGTCCTAGACCAAAGAGAGGTTTGGCCTTTGCCCTAGGCTCCTGGAAATCATCTCTAAGCCTCTTAGAATATCCGGTCAGATAAAGTGTTTTTGTGTACCTGGGGCCCTTGAGCCACACCAGATGGTAGAACAATGTGCTGGGGGCTTTGGGTCAGCTCAAATTCTGCTATCAGCTCTGGTGTCTGAGGAGCTGGAGACAGAGGTCAGCTGTTTGGGCAGCTGACTATGTCCACAGGACAGAGCCTCATTATGACTCTGGACACCAAGTTCAGGTGGTCTTCCCTGGCTGGCATACTGTCACATACTGCTGCTGGGAGAAGTTAGCACTGCCTACGACTGCACTGGGAGAAGACAAGCAGGTCTGCATTTGGAATTCTTCTGGACTTTATCAATTACATCTCTTCCCTTGGCTGATTTCAATCTGATCCCTCTCACTGGTGTAAACCATAGCCACGAACAGGGAGCAGGCAATTCTGCAAGTCTGTCTAATGAATTCTTAAACATGAAGGTGGTCTTGGGGACCCCTGAACTTGCAATTAGTGTTATGAGTAACATAACCTTGGGGCCCTGAATTCTGCAGTTGGTGTCCAAAGTGAAGGCAGTTTTGGGGACTTCCCCAATGTCACAGATAAAGTACTTCTGCTCCAAACACAAATATAATGGTTTCCTCTCGGAAAAGCAATTGTATGATTATTTGAGTTAGAGAATTTTTCCCTGGAATACTATTTTATTACTTGAACTTTGGAAAATTTTCATCCACCACTGTGAGCTTGACAGCTTCCCAATACTTCAGATCCTTTTTGGTGAACTCACTGGTGAGTTTAATGAATGTGACTTTTCGGGATAATTACTTAACGAAATGTGTTAACACCTGGAAGATCTGCATAACTCAGTATTTCCAAATGACCAATGCATGATGTTAAAACATTCCTGGGTATGCCCTAGCCCAGGGGTCGGCAAACTGCAGCTCGCAAGCCACATGCGGCTCTTCGGCCCCTTGAGTGTGGCTCTTCCACAAAATACCAACTTCTGCGCATGGACCACGAAGTTTCAATTGCACTGTACGTGCGCGCCCACACGTGGTATTTTGTGGAAGAGACACACTCAAGGGGCCAAAGAGTTGAATATGGCTCACGAGCCGCAGTTTGCCGGCCACTGCTCTAGCCAGTTTGGCTCTGTGGATAGAGCCTTGGCCTGTGGACTGAAGGGTCCAGGGTTCGATTCCAGTCAAGGACACATACCCAGGTTGTGGGCTTCATTTTTAGTAGGGGGCATGCAGGAAGCAGCCGATCAATGATTCTTTCTCATCATTGATGTTTATCTTTTTTTCCCTCCTTTCCTCTATGAAATCAATAAAAATATATTTTAAAAACAACAACAGCCGAACCGGTTTGGCTCAGTGGATAGAGCAGCCGTGGGCCGTTTGAAATGAATAAAACTATTGAAAAAAAAGACCGTACCCTTTTATGTAATGATGTTTACTTTGAATTTATATTAATTCACACAAACACTCCATCCATGCTTTTGTTCCGGCCCTCCGGTCCAGTTTAAGAACCCATTGTGGCCCTCGAGTCAAAAAGTTTGCCCACCCCTGGGATAGAGCGTCGGCCTGCGGACTGAAGGGTCCCAGGTTTGATTATGGTCAGGGGCATGTGCCTTGGTTGCGGGCACATCCCCAGTGGGGGGACATGCAGGAGGCAGCTGATCGACCTCTCTCATCAATGTTTCTGACTCTCTGTCCCTCTCCCTTCTTCTCTGTAAAAAATCAATAAAATATATATGTTAAAAAAAATTTTTTTTAATAATAAAAAAACCCCACAAAAACAACAAATAAAAACAAACATTCCTGGGTAAAAGATTCACTCCAAGTGCAAGACATATCAATGGGTTTTAATGTCTGAAAAATTCACTGATATAATTTTATGTTCTACATTGCAATGAATTTTTTAGGAAAACTACTATTTGTTGAGTTTTGATATAGTATCAAAGAAGAATATCCATAATGAGCTGAAAAGATCTTAAAATACTCTTTCTTTTTCCAACTGTATACCTGTGAGAAGCCAGACACTTTCAATATGCTTTAACCACACAACATATAGTAATCGACGATACAGAAGAAATGAGAACCAACTATAAAATGCTTTAAAGGCATGTATACAAATGACTAATATCCTCATCAGAATGATGAGCTTGGGAAGTCCCTCCAATTGTTTACTCTTACTGTAACTGCCCAAAATATGTTAGAACCCTACCATCCGAGAGTTCCGAGTAAGATAATATTTAAGAAAGTATTATTTTATTGACATGACTTTTTTGGACAAAGATGGTATTAATTACCCCTCTTACCAAAATATCTGATTTAGCCAATTTGCATATGACTTTCCACTGTTATCTAAAAATCAAATTTATTTATTTTTTAAATATATTTTTATTCTGATTTCAGAGAGGAAGGGAGAGGGAGAAATAGAAACATCAATGTTGAGGATCGTTGATGGGCTACCTCCTGCACGCCCCCTATTGAGGATCGAGCTGGCAAGCTGGGCGTGTGCCCTTGGCCAGAATCGAACCTGAGACCCTTTAGTCAGCAGGCTGACACTCTATCCACTGAGCCAAACTGGCTAAGGCCAAATTTATTTTCAAAGGATGGGAACTTCCCATCCTTTGAAAATATTCAAAAAAATGTTTTATAATGCCAAAAGCAGAGAGTACAGAGGGAGTGAAAGTAATTCCCAGAACTTGGAAACAGATTTACCCTTACAAATAAGGGATAATATTAGCAAGATGTCTTCCAAATATAGTGTATCCCCCCAAAAGTTTACACGCCTTGAATGACTATAAAGTCCGTGTTTCTGAACACACAGTTCATTTTCAAAATTTTAAAGAATCCACACAAATGAATAAGATTTTTGTCAATGCCTGTTTTCAAACTGATGACCATTCTGGTCCAGGCACTGCTGATAACACAAAGCAATGGAATCACAAACACAGTTCAGTACTTGTGCCCCCTCAATTCGTCAGCTGTTGCCGGTTTTGTACCGTAAACGTTATCTTTTATGTATCTCCATTAAAAAGTCTAGTGGATGAATTTTCTTTGTTCAAAGCTTAGTCTGGCTTCACCCATTATTTCAAATCTGCTAAACGTGTAAAGGAGTAAAAAATTAGTGAGTTATCAGCTATTAAAGTGTGTATACATTTTTTGGGACAGGGTGTCCTCTCAAAAATGTATACACATTTTGAGTAATTATAAAGGCAGTGTTTGTACTTCAACCGCATTTTCAAGCTTCCAGGAGCATTTTAGGAAGAATTTCCTTTGTTCAAAGCTTAGCCTGGCTAAAAAAAAAGAAACATCAATTGAGCTATCAGCTGTTAAAGTGTACATACATGTTTTGGGGACACCTTATATAAGCAGAAAAATACCCTAAAAATCTGAAATAAACCTGAATGTTATAGAAATTAAAATTAATGTTAAGTCCAGACTTGAGGAATAAGTAAAAAGAAGCAATTAGTCAATCTGGAGTTTGTTAAGCATCAAGGTAAAGGGAACCCAAATAAGTTCTGCCTGACATGACAGTTAATCCTTTTGGGAAGATGAACACATCAGGCGATCAGAGCTTAGTGATGCTAGCATTAATACATTCAACTATTCCTCTTGATTCTCTAAGCCAGCGGTTGCCAACCTTTTGGACCTCACGGACCACTGGTTGGCAACTGCTGCTCTAAGCAACCTTTATGAGGTCAAATTATTGTGGACACAATCATCTTCATCTATTTGTCGGTTTTATAAATATTGTGAAGTAATAGGTTTGGCATTAGGTTTGTAAATCAGTAACTCCTAGGTCAGCGGTTCTCAACCTGTGGGTCGCGACCCCTTTGGTGGTCAAACGACCCTTTCACAGGGGTCACCTAAGACCATCCTGCATATCAGATATTTACATTACGATTCATAACAGTAGCAACATTACA